TGTGTGTGTTTTCATATGTACACATATATATGCATATGTACATATGTGGTTGAGAGATGTGGGAAAGCTGAGAGAAACACCTATTTAGTTTTTCATTCCCCAGAATTTCCTCCCATGCCAGGCTGGGCCAGGAGGTAAACAGAACAGCAGGGGTAATAGTAATAAAGAAAAAGAGAAAGCACCACCATCAATGTTCTACCCTGGAGAAAACAAGTGACAATCATCTCAGAAGCAGGTCCGCAGGCTGCCAATGCTGCTTAAATTGAGCTTCAGTTTCCTAGCTGAGGCTTTCTCTGCGCTAGCTTAGGAATTTAAAATGTTGCCTGGAAAACCCAGGCGCCCTCAGCAGAGAAGAAGAGGGGCCCACTGGGAATCAAGGGGGGAGCACACACCCATGGGATTCCCAGAAGGAGGCCATCCCAACCCCAAAACAGCCCTCAGTCATGATGTAACCATAGGCTGGGACCAAACCAGACAATAAAACTGTGATTTTCCCTTAGAAAGAAAAGCCCCAGAGAAGATGGTTCTATACACATCATTTGCTTCTTTCTCCCTTGCAGCTGTCAGAGGAAGATGAGATCGTTGATTTGCTGCTGATGAAAATACTCAGTTTCCTGGGAATTAAATGTACAAGAGAGAAGCCTCAAAGCAGCAGTGAGCAGCCCACGTCACTGTCTGTAGCTTGGTCCCCTCAACCCACACAAGCTTTGCCCAAGGTTTAAGCTGTTCATTCACACACACGATCATCTACAAGTGGGCGAAGGCCAGGCCTCAGCCCTATGCTTACCAGTAATTTCATAGCCTCTCTGGGTCATTCATTGTTTTTTGTGTCCATAGAAAAGTTACCAAGCCCAGCAAGTGAAAAAATAAGAATAATACATACATATCATAACATTGCCACAACTGTGATAGCCTGTTTGCTCAAATGTGCTTCCTTTTAGAAATAAAACAAATATTGTATAAAGTTGGAAAAAAAAAATCTCCTCTACAGACCAATTATTTCCTCTTTTTGGTCAGTCAGCCATTGTCTGAGAGATGCTAATGGGGGGTCATATTAGTTTCCTAGGGCTGCCAGAACAAAGTATCACAAACTGTGTGGCTTAAAAGAACAGAAATGTATTATCTCACAGTTCTGGAGGTTAGAAGTCTTCAGTCAAGGTGTTGACAGGGCCATGTACACTCTGAGGACTTCTGGCTTCTTCCAGCTTCTGGTGGTTGCTGGCAAGCCTTGGTGTTCTTTGGCTTGTAGATGCACCACTCCCCTCTTGTCACCTGGCATTCTTTCCATTTCCATGTCCCTTCTTGTCTTCTTATCAGGATGCCAGTCATATTGGATTAGCTAGTCTCTCCCCCACACCACTGTGATGTCATATCTTAACTAATTACGTCTGCAATGACTCTATTTCCTACTGTGGCCACATTCTGAAGTCTTTAGCGTGAAATTGTCAGAGCTTTTTTTTTTTTTTTTTTAAAGATGACCGGTAAGGGGATCTTAACCGTTGACTTGGTGTTGTCAGCACCACGCTCAGCCACACCACGCTCAGCCAGTGAGTGAACCGGTCATCCCTATATGGGATCCGAACCCGGGGCCTTGGTGTTATCAGCACCGCACTCTCCCGAGTGAGCCANCATATGTACATATGTGGTTGAGAGATGTGGGAAAGCTGAGAGAAACACCTATTTAGTTTTTCATTCCCCAGAATTTCCTCCCATGCCAGGCTGGGCCAGGAGGTAAACAGAACAGCAGGGGTAATAGTAATAAAGAAAAAGAGAAAGCACCACCATCAATGTTCTACCCTGGAGAAAACAAGTGACAATCATCTCAGAAGCAGGTCCGCAGGCTGCCAATGCTGCTTAAATTCAGCTTCAGTTTCCTAGCTGAGGCTTTCTCTGCGCTAGCTTAGGAATTTAAAATGTTGCCTGGAAAACCCAGGCGCCCTCAGCAGCGAAGAAGAGGGGCCCACTGGGAATCAAGGGGG